TTCCATGTTGAGTGGTCCATTTGAGCTTCCGTATGCACTCTAGTCCAGCACAAGTAACCTCTGATCCAGCAAAGCCTCAGATGGAGCTTGTTTTTCTCAGCAACAATGCATGCAAGTGTGGCAGCCAAACGCTGGGCCACTTTGCCTGTGCAAATGGTGCTCAGGGAGATGTGCAGGAAAATGCAAAACCTTAATTTTTGCACAGGGCTACACACCTCCGTTTCTTGCTTTGCATCTCCTTTTAGATTCTCTCTCTTAGACTACAACATCACCTTGGATGTTTTGAGCAAAGATCATATAGTAACAACAACCTAATGTAAACCAAGAGGCCTGCATCTTAAAAGACTAACAGATCCAGCCTTCCCCGACCAGGTAACCTAAAACTGTCTTGGACTACATTTTCTGCCTTTTTGTACCTTACCTGTCTGGCCAGGTGCCAGAAGCTTTTTTATACTTCATTACAATCATTTCTGTAACCAAACTAACATAGTTTATCTCTCTGAAAGGAGATTAATATAAGCAGAGTTCTGAGGATATTAGCAAATAAAATCTTACTCTATTAAATAGGCAGCTGAGTAAAACTAATACAGAACCGAAAGGAAATTCTCTTTTGATCTAATGTACCTTGTACTCTACTGGCACCATCTTTGAAGAGACATTCCTTCCTTGGGGCACTTGCCTCAGCTGGTGGCAAAATCTGGCTAAACTTGACTCTTCTAGGAGACTAAGCACAGTCCGGATGGTACTTGGACGGGAGACTATTTTGGAAGACCAGTGCTGTGGGCTGGAGCAAGGAGTCAAAACAACCACTTCCATAACATGCCAAGACAAGGGCAGATGTGTCTGTGTAAGTCACCAGCACTCAAGCTGAAATTGAAGGCAACTTTATTTTACTTTTCTTGCCAACTGTAGTTTATTTTTTAAAAAATAAATGATTGCACTTCATTTCTTGAACTTCATGGTTCAAGACTCTCTCTCTCCCTCCCTCTGTCTGTGTGTGTGTACAGTAATCTCTTGACGGTTCCAATCCTGTGCACACTTAACATAAGACTAACCCCCACCCCCTATCCCGAGTGCAATGTAATGTCTGAGCAAGGAAATATAAGATCTGTAAACATTGCAGTTTTTGTACTTACTGGTCACAGCAAAGTCATCAACAAGGAAGAAGCGGGAAGCACCTGTCCTTACATTTAAGGGCAGCATAATTAAGCCTTTTAGGCTAAAAATCACAGCTGGCCACTGGTAAAAGGAGTTTTAATTGATGGTAGCAAACACTAATTTTAGTACCAAACTCTCATCCTTTAATGGTCTTCAGAGAAGTTGAGGGAGGCATTTATGTGATTAAATCATCCAAAAGTTACTTCCTACTAAAGGAAATAGTTGTTTTCTAAACTTCATTTTTCTCGGTTACAACAGAGACTTGAACTTAAGTTGCCAAAGTAAACAGGTATGTCCTCATCAATCTCAGTATGCCCCATCAAACAGTTAGAGACTGCAGCCCTAACCATTATAACTAGCTACATTGAATGGCAGACTTAATTTTATTTTTTTAGATTTTTTTTATCCTGCCTTCATTATTTTTATATAACTCAAGGTGGCAAACATACCTAATACTCCTTCCTCCTCCTATTTTCCCCACAACAACAACCCAGTGAGATGAGTTGGGCTGAGAGAGAGTGTCCAGTTTGTTTTGAATGTCTAGTTTGGAGACAAATTTAAAAACTGAAGTCCTATACTCTATCTCTGTAGTTGGCAACCAACTGCTAGTGGAGAGCAGGACATGAATGCAATGGCACTCTTCTGCTCATGCAAGTTTCTGTCCCAAATAACTGAGAAATCTAAAGTTAGAAGAGGGGAACAGAGAGGTGAGGTGACTGACCTCTTCTGATTTGGAAGAGAACATTAGTGAATCAAATACTGATCATCATAATTTCCTAGCACTTGCTCCTACAGGCCAAATGAGAGATTGAAAGGCTTCTGGCAAGACAGTAGCACCCAACTCAACAGAAGCCACCCTACATTCTTTGCCTGGTACCTGTCAATGAGACCAGAACTAGAAAGGACCAAAAATAGAAGATAAGCTCCATTCACACAATATATTTAACTTGATTATGAAATTAATCCATTTTCTGGGTTTGCAAGGAGTATGGAACCCTAAACAAACCAAACAGGCTGGGCTTGCATAACTTACTAAGTCCACACACGCACACACCCAAAACCAAGATTAGTGTGTACTGTATATGCAAATTCACCTAGCAGGTCTTTAACTGACCCAGCTAGGCATGTTCTGAACACGCTTGAGTTTCTTAAAGACTAGAGATCTAGAAAGGGACTGAGTTCATAGATCTCAGAATTTGGGAGCATGATTTTATCTATATTCATTTACCTCAATAATGTATAAATTGATTAAAATGTTTGATACAATGAGATTTTACAATATGGGAAAGAAGATAGTATTCAAAGGTTATCTGTCAGACATGAAACATAAATTATTCAGTACATAATTAGATTGAGAAAAGTAGAAACAGACAGTTTATGCAGAAGCCATTTCAGTTATCTAAAAGCTCCAATTCTCTTGTTTGTGCCTCAGATTACTCCAATAACTTCTTTAAAGCTTAGTAGGGAAATGTATTAATGATTTAATTACATGAATTGTACAGCATGCTCTACTTTGTAAAACCTTGTTAAAAATTATCTTTGTAAAACTTTTATACTGTATTGGCTTATATTAATCTGCAGTAGGGTAACAAAAAGATATGGTGCTCAAGAATGTAACTTAAAGATTAATGGAATATATTTTAAAATACAAATAAAGTCTGATTCCTGGTGATTACATTGTTTGGCAGCAAGTGGTTTCCTTCTGCCTCCTCCTGGGATGTTTTTTCAGCTTCCAAGTCTAAGCCACAGCCAAGGGATTTCCTGGTGGTCTCCCATCCAAGTACTAACCAAGTCTGCCTCTGCTTAGCTTTTAATGAGATCAGCCCAGATGATAGTATAAATTCTGTGTGTTTGAGTCCCCAGAAGACACACATAACTAGGAAAATGTGATCATTGGTCCAGTAAGTTTGATCATTGGTCCAGTAAAGCCAAATCATTTTAAGATAGTTTTTAACATTTCTCACTATTAGCAGTAGCTCACACCAACAAGGAATGAATGTATGCAACTTGAATTATATTATTGCAACAGTTTGCTTCAGTTTGGAAGAGTATAACTCCTTTGATATATAAAAGATACTGAGTTTGAGATTTCAACTTGATGGTTAAACTATATTTGGGAAAGAATCATGTCTCAGGTTCATTCCTTATGACTGTCTGGGAGGACTTCAGATGATTTCTGTGGAGCCACAGCCAGCCACATACACTGAGCTATATAGACCAATGGCTCGATGTGAGCAAGTTGTTTAGCTCCAGGTATTCCTAAGGAGAGAGTCAGTTTGGGGTAGTGATTAAGGCGCCAGCCTAGAAACCGGGAGACTCTGAGTTCTAGTGCCGCCTTAGGCACAAAGCCAGCTGGGTGACCCTGGGCCAGTCCCTCTCTCTCAGCCCTAGGAAGCAGGCAAGGGCAGACCACTTCCGAAAAACCTTGCCAAGAAAGCTGCAGGGACTTACCCAGGCAGCCTCTGAGAATCGGACACGATTGAACGGGTTTGGATGGGCCTTTGCAGATGGATAAATTTATATCACACGTGGGCCAGACACGTTCCACCTACAGTAATATGCCTCTCCAGTCCAAAGCAATAAGAGGGAGGAAGAACAGGACTGTGTTTCCCACTTCCTATTTCTATTCTGTTTTCATAAACCCATAAATTCAACATTTCTGCAGCACGCATAATCAGGTCAGGTTATAACTACCTACTGCTTCTCTCCATACAGTATGCTAGCTTTGGTTAGGGTTGGCCTTAGTCTGATTTTTTGTGGCTTGCCTGTTGTGTAAACCCAGCTGTTTGGTTAATTTAAGGTAGGGCTACCAGCTCTGAGCTGCAGAAACCTGGACAACCACAGGATGACAGCAAGAGAGTTTTCGAACCCTAACCCAGCCCTAGTTTATGAGTCAATGTATTGTGCAAACCCAGTTAATGGATTAATTTAGCAACCTGGGTGAGTATGTTGTGTGCATGCAGTCCACATGGGTACATAGGTACAAGCACACACATACAAAACCCCACCTGGAATAAGAATGAATGAGCTAGGAACAGTTAGGCGACATACTGATGGAAAATTCCTGTATATATGCCCAGAGTCTTTCTCAGGTTAGGGAGCTGAGATGTGTTGCTGAACCAGAGAAATCTGGTGATTCTGGCTCAGATGGAAGGAGAGGAAAGCAAGGCTTGTGCAATGTTTTCTTTAGGGGTTGGGTCCTACACGTCCTTCTGCCCATCTTTCTTGGGTGATTATGTTATAATTATCACCATTATCATCTTGAAACAAATGAAGGGATACCGTTGGTGTGAGCTGCTGGGGGATGGTAGCAGCCCCCCTGGGAGTCACTTTTATTAAAAGAGAGACCAAAGTGCTGGTGATGGGCTTCACCGTGCCCTTAAGCCCTAGCTCTTCATACCCGGTGGGCGCCAGGTTGCAAGGCAGGAGCGGGAAGCGACAGGAAGGCCGTTACTGTGCGTGGTAACTGCCCGGGGACGGTGTCGGTGGCTATCCCAGATTGCGAGATGAGCCCTGCCTTTGCCAAGACAAGCAACACTCGGCGCCTGCTCAGAGGCACGGTCTTCTGCTTCCACCCATGCTCGGAGCCGAGCCCCGGGGTGGCAAGAGGGACGTCGGAGCCGAAGAGAAGGCGGCCCGCTTGCTCTGCCCGCGCCTCTCCTTCGCCTTCCCGCGACCTCGCGTCTCTCCCTCCGGTGAGAGGCAAGAAGCAAGAGGCGAGGGAGGGACCGAGGGCGCGCTCAAGGCGGGGCCGGACACTTCCCAGACGGCACCGGAGGAAGCTCATAGAAGCTCATAAATAGAGCGCGGCCGAGGGAAAGGCGCTTGCTGGGGCGGCAGGGCGAGGCTGCGTGGCCGCAGGGCGGGCGGTGGGCGAGAGGGGCGCCCGGCTCGAGTCCCGCGTGCCTCGACGGCATGGCTTCGCTGCTGGGCTCCTTCGCGTGGGCGGAGAGGCTGGACTGCTCCGCTCTGGAGTTGCCCGACGGGGGCAGCGGGACCCCAGCCTCCGCGGGGCCCCGGACGGAGAAGGGAAGCCCCGAAAGCCGCATCCGACGCCCCATGAACGCCTTCATGGTGTGGGCCAAGGACGAGAGGAAGCGCCTCGCCGTCCAGAACCCGGATCTGCACAACGCCGAGCTGAGCAAGATGCTGGGTGAGCCGCGGCCGCCGGAGCGAGCGGAGCGGGACTCCGCGCCGTTGCGCCCCTCCTGCTTTAGAAGTCGCTCGCTGTGCCAAACTCCGAATGCCCCGAGTGGAAAGGTTTCAGCTTAGGGTGACTCTTTTGCTTGTGCCTTCGCCTGTAAAACAAAATTACGGGGTAGAGCCGGCCCTTCTACAGCCTCCTTGCTTTGGGGAGCGATGCGGTGCCTACGTCGCTCTCTTGCAGTTACTTGGTGAAATGCGCTCTATTTCGCTCTCGCGTTGGAGTAAGTGGGCGAAGAGATTTGGGGGGAAAGAAATAGCACGGCTTTCAAAAACGTGTCCTTAGAATTGTTCGTTATTAGTTGGGTTGCAACCCAACGGGTTTCCCTGTCAACTGCTCTCCAAGAGCGCTCCTCTCAGAGAATTGGGTCCAGGATATTTAAATTTAAAGC